TAATTCAGGTGCTAACTGGCTTTCTCTGGGGAAGCAGCAGGAGTATTTAGGCCAAGCTGTTGATTTGACTGTGTCTGTTTCTCTCTGGAAATAGGCACTAACTTTTTCTTTCTTTTCTTCCCTATTTTTTTTTTTTTTAAACAGAATCTCACTCTGTCACCCAGGCTGGAGTGTAGTGGCACAATCTTGGCTCACTGCAACCTCTGCCTCCCGGGTTCAAGCGATTCTCCTGCCTCAGCCTCCTGAGTAGCTGGGATTACAGGCACGCATCACCACGTCCAGCTAGTTTTTGTATTTTTAGTAGAGATGGGGTTTCACCATGTTGGTCAGGCTGGTCTCAAATTCTTGACCTTGGGTGATCCACCCGCCTCAGCCTCCCAAAGTGCTGGAATTACAGGTGTAAGCCACTGCACCCAGCCGACACTGACTTCCCCCAGCCCCCTCCAGATGGAGTCTTGCTAATTTTTGCCTTTTTAGTAGAGACGGTTTTCACCATGTTGGCCAGGATGGTCTCAATCTCTTGACCTCATGATTCACCTGCCTCAGCCTTTCAAAGTGCTGGGATTACAGGCGTGAGCCACCACGCCCACCCTAGATGTTGACTTTTCAACAGCTTTTCCTTGGAAGAACCAAGACCAATTCTGATGGGCTTCTCAAAGGATGCATGTTGCAGTGGATTAACAGTTCACATATGTGAACCTGAAAGTGCTTGGGAAATCCAAATAAATTATTATGTTTTCTTTTTTTTTTTTTTTTTTTTGAGACGGAGTTTCGCTCTTGTTACCCAGGCTGGAGTGCAATGGCGCGATCTCGGCTCACCGCAACCTCCGCCTCCTGGGTTCAGGCAATTCTCCTGCCTCAGCCTCCTGAGTAGCTGGGATCACAGGCACGTGCCACCACGCCCAGCTAATTTTATTGTATTTTTAGTAGAGACGGGGTTTCACCGTGTTGACCAGGATGGTCTCGATCTCTCGACCTCGTGATCCACCCGCCTCGGCCTCCCAAAGTGCTGGGATTACAGGCGTGAGCCACCGCGCCCGGCCTATTATGTTTTCTTTTGGGGTGGTGGCGGGACAGGATCTCACTCTATGGCCTAGGCTGGAGTGCAGTGGCACTATCTTAGCTCACTGCAGCCTCAAAATCTTGGACTCAAGCGATCCTCCTCCCTCAGCTTCCTGAGTAGGTGCAACTGCAGGCATGCACCACCACGCCCAGCTAAAGTTTTTCTTTTTTGTAGAGACAAAGTCTCACTATGTTGACCAGGCTGGTCTCGAACTCCCAAGGTCAAGCAATTCAAAAGCGCCAGGGTTACAAGTATGAGGCACTGCGCCCAGCCCCAGATGAATTATGTAGTCCAACAATCTTAGGGAGCAATGACAGAGGGCACCTTGCCTTGTGCACCTGAACTGCCACTGTCACTAAGCACTGTCATTGACACTAGGGTGCTTTAGCCCTTCTGTTTATGACCCTTCCCACTGGTATTAATTAGCCATCATTCCTCATTGCTAGTAGGCCTGGCTTCCTTTGTCCAAGGGTATGGCGTTAACAGGGGGTCTCACAGGCTAGCACCAGGGAACCCTCACTTTTCTAGCTGTCACTGAGGCCCTGCCTCTCTCGCTGCTTGTGAAGTGGCCTGGCTCCATTCCCATTTCCCTATTTGGATGTGAATGTCACTTAGCCAGTTTGCCCACATGATTTCCCAGAGCCAGGAAAGGAAACGCCTTGGTGCAGAGATGCAATCGCGACCACCACTATGGAAAGGAAGGCACATCCTTGGTGTTTCTGTCACGTGTCTCTCTCTCTCTTTTTTTTTTTGAGACAGAGTCTGGCTCTGTCACCAGGCAGTCCTGTGATCTTGGCTCACGGCAACCTCCAACTCCCTGGTTCAAGCGATTCTCTTGCCTCAGCCTCCTGAGTAGCTGGGATTGCAAGTATGCACCACCATGCCCAGCCAAATTTTGTATTTTTAGCAGAGACAAGATTTCTTTTCTTCTTCTTCTTTTTTTTTTTTTTTTTTTTTTTTGAGATGGAGTTTCGCTCTTGTTACCCAGGCTGGAGTGCAATGGCGCGATCTCGGCTCACTGCAACCTCCGCCTCCTGGGTTCAGGCAATTCTCCTGCCTCAGCCTCCTGAGTAGCTGGGATTACAGGCGCGTGCCACCATGCCCAGCTAATTTTTTGTATTTTTAGTAGAGACGGGGTTTCACCATGTTGACCAGGATGGTCTCGATCTCTCGACCTCGTGATCCACCCGCCTCAGCCTCCAAAGTGCTGGGATTACAGGATTGAGCCATCGCACCCAGCCTTCTTTTTTTTTTTTAAGATGGAGTTTCACCATGTTGGCCAGGCTGGTCTTGAACTCCTGACCTCAGGTGATCCACCCGCCTCGGCCTCCCAAAGTGCTGGGATTACAGACATGAGCCACCACGTCCGGCTTTTCTTCTTTTTTTTTTATTTTGAGATGGAGTTTTGTTCTTGCTGTTCTGGTTGGAGTGCAATGGCAGGATCTTGGCTCACTGCAACCTCCACATCCCGGGTTCAAGTGATTCTCGTGCCTCAGGCTCCAGAGTAGCTGGGATTACAGGCATGCACCACCATGCCTGGCTAATTTTTGTATTATTAGTAGAGATAGGGTTTCTCCATGTTGGCCAGGCTGATCTCGAACTCCTGACCTCAGGTGATCCCCCCCGCCTTGGCCTTCCAAAATGCTGGGATTAGAGGTGTAAGGCACTGCACCTAGCCCAGAGACAGGGTTTCACCATGTTGGCTAGGATGGTCTCGATTTCCTGACCTCGTGATCCATCCGCCTCGGCCTCCCAAAGTGCTGGGATTATAGGCTTGAGCCACTGCATGTGGCTTTTCTTTTTTAATGTCAGAAGCTGAGATCATGTCATCCTTTTTGGTGGGGCATTTCACTTGCTCAGACAAATGTCCATTTGCTTTGGATTCTTTGAGGATAAAAAGTTTCCAGCCAGATGGGATATTTGTTTATGCTTAGGATTCTGAACTACACGGATGTCCCTTACTCTAACTCACATCTCTGCCTCTGTGCAATGCCTTTTTCCAGAATAATCAAAGAAGTTCTGTGCATTTTTAAAATAAAAAGGTGAGATGTAATTATACCTCCTGACATTTTCAGGGGTCAGCCCTGAAACTGTACAGGGTAGCCCTGAAATAACCTCACTGCATTTGTAAACTCTCTATAACAAAGTGGTTTTGAGGTGGCCTTGACCCTAACTGGTGCCTCCTGCCTGCCCTTTGAGCTTGGGTTTGGGGGTTCTGTTAGACTTGTGTTCAGAATCTTCCTTCAGGGAAACACATCCCACAGTTTGTCTAAGAGAAAGATACCATTCAGGGAATTTTAGGGTTTTTTCTTTTTTTTTTTCTTTTGTTCTTATTTATTTATTTATTTATTTATTTTTTAAGATGGGGTTTCACCATGATGGCCAGGCTGGTCTTGAACTCCTGACCTCAGATGATTCACCCACGTCAGCCTCCCAAAGTGCTAGGATTACAGGCGTGAGCCACTGCGCCTGGCGGTTTTTTTCTTTTTTCTTTTTTGAGACAGAGTCTCACTCTGTTATCCAGGCTGGACTGCAGTGGCGCAGTGTTAGCTCACTGGAAGCTCCACTTCCCAAGATCAAGTGGGTTCTCCTGCTTCAGCCTCCCAAGTAGCTGGGACTGCAGGTGTGTGCTGGCACACCTGGCTCCTTGTTTTTGTATTTTTTTGTAGAGACAGGGTTACACCAGCTTGGCCAGGTGAGCCTCAAACTCCTGCTCTCAGGTGATCCTCCCTGCTCAGCCTCCCAGAGTGTTGGGCTTACAGGTGTGAGCCACTGCGCCCAACTAAGTTTTGGGTTCTTTTTTTTTGACGAAGTTTCACTCTTGTTGATCAGGCTAGAGTGCAACGACACGATCTTGGCTTACCACAACCTCTGCTCCCACTCTACAAAAAAAACCAAAAAAACTGTAATAGTGTTGAGTAGGTGATGGCTTTACTTTTTTTTTTTTTTTGAGATGGACTTTCGTTCTTGTTGCCCAGGCTGGAGTGCAACGGTACAATCTTGACTCACCACAACCTCCGCCTCCCGGGTTCAAGTGATTCTCCTGCCTCAGCCTCCTGAGTAGCTGGGATTACAGGCATCTGCTACCACACCTGGCTAATTTTTGTATTTTTAGTAGAGATGGGTTTCACCATGTTAGTCAGGGGCTGGTCTCGATCTCTTGACCTTGTGATCTGTCTACCTCGGCCTCCCAAAGTGCTGGGATTACAGGTATGAGCCATTGCATCTGACCTTGAGACTTGATTTTTTTTTTTTTTTTTTAATTTTCAAAGGTGGGGTTTCACCATGATGGCCAGGCTGGTCTTGAACTCTTGACCTCAGGTGATCCACCCACCTCGGCCTCCCAAAGTGCTGGGATTACAGGTGTGAGCCATCGTGCCTGGCCTTGAGACTTGATTTCTTATATGGTGAGGAAAGTAACTGGCCTCTGTAGGGAGTGGCAGATCTTGGGTTTGACCCCAGCTCTGCCAACCACCAAAATCCAAGTGTTCATTGTCCACCTGGAGCGCCTCGGACACTTGCAGGATGTGGTAAGTAAAATGACAGAGGTGCACAGAAGGTGCTCCGGGAACAGCTTGTCTTCATGTTTACAATGGCTTCTTTCCCTGGCCAAGGACTGTATCAGCCTTTCCACTTGCAGGCAGGCTGAGCTCGCTGAGGGCGTCAGGCCCCACAGGGCTCCCTGCCAACCTCCCATCATTGTGACTGAATTTGTTCTTTACTTTTCTTCCAGGAACATCAGCACACTTGTAACAATAATAATCATCTTTCCTACCGGGTATACTGTTTCATGGTTTACAAAGCACTTTCACATCCATTATCTCATTTAATCACTTCCTCCTCCACATTCCTACAACGGTTTCTTAGTACCTCTTCAGTACAACATTCTGCCTGATATAACAGGCCTATTTCCCTTTATTATATTAAAAAAAATTTTATACTTACCAGGAAGGGGAGATACCATGATCATGAAGGTGGTTTTCCCAAGGCCAAGCTTATCCATTGCACTCTGGATGTGTTGACCCCTACGATTTCCTCAAATGTGGGAAACTCGACTGCATAATTTATGGTAGTGGGGGACTGCGTTCCCGCTTTCCCCTGGTCTTTCTTTTTTTGAGACGGAGTTTTGCTCTTGTTACGTTTTTAGTAGAGACGGGGTTTCACCACGTTGACCAGGATGGTCTCGATCTCTTGACCTCGTGATCCACCTGCCTCGGCCTCCCAAAGTGCTGGGATTACAGGCTTGAGCCACCGCGCCCGGCCAAAAAATACAAAGATTAAAAAAACATAGACAGGTCTTGTGGCATGCACTTGCGGTACCACCTACTCATGGGCTGAGTCAGGAGGATCACCTAAGCCCAAGAGGTGGAGGCTCCAGGGAGCCATGATCTTGCCACTCTTCTGCAGCCTGGGATACAGAGCAAGATCCCATCTCAAAGAACAAACAAAATGGAAAAAAATTACAAATACAACACTGTTGCTTCCCAGAGTTTGGGGTGACTTTTTTTTTTTTTTTTTTTTTTTTAAGACAGGGTCTCACTGTGTCACCCATGCTGGAGTGCAGTGGCAGGATCGTGACCCATTGCAGCTTCAACCTTCCAGGGTCAGGTGATCCTTCAATAGTTTAGGGGCCGGGCGCAGTGGCTTACACCTGTAATGCCAGCATTTTGAGAGGCCTAGGCGAGCAGATCATGGGGTCAAGAGTTCAAGACCAGCCTAGCCAACATAGTGAAACCCCCAACTAAACCCCCACTAAAAATACAAAAATTAGTTGGGTGTGGTGGCACATACCTGTGGTCCCAGCTACTCAGGGGGCTGAGGCAGGAGAAACGCTTCAACCTGGGAGGTAGAGGTTGCAGTTAGCCAAGACCGTGCCATTGCACTCCAGCCTGGGCGACAGAGTGAGACTTCGTCTAAAAAAAAAAAAGTTTGGGGTGACTGATTTTATCTGGGGGTGATTGAGAAGCAGGAATTCTTGGAAGGATCTTTCTTATTTTATTTTATTTTTTAGAGACGGTGTTTCACCATATTGGCAAGGCTGGTCTCGAACTCTGAACCTCAGGTGATCCGCCCGCCTCGGCCTCCCAAAGTGCTGGGATTGCAGGCGTGAGCCTCCACACCCTGCCCATTTTTCTTTTTTGTTCTTTCTTTTTTTTTTGGTATGGAGTCTCACTGTCACCCAGGCTGGAGTGCAGTGGCGGATCTCGGCTCACTGCAACCTCTGCCTCGCAGGTTCAAGTGATTCTTCTGCCTCAGCCTCCCGAGTAGCTGAGACTACAGGCGCCCGACACCACGCCCAGCTGATTTTCGTATTTTAGTAGAGATGGGGTTTCACCACGTTGGCCAGGCTGGTCTCGAATTTCTGACCTTGGGTGATCCACCCACCTCCGCTTCCCAAAGTGCTGGGATTACAGGTATGAGCCACCATGCCTGGCAACTTTTCTTTTCTTTTTTTGAGACAGGGCCTTGCTCTGTCGCCCAGGCTGGAGTGGCACGATCTTGGCTCACTGCAGCCTCGACCTCCCGGCTCAAGCGATCCTCCCGCCTCAGCCTCCGGAGTCGCTGGGACTACAGGTGTGCGCCACCACCCCTGCTAATTTTTTTATTTTAATTTTTGTAGAGACGGGGTATTGCTATGTTGCCGAGGCTGGTCTGAAACTCCCGGGATCAATCGGTTCTCCAGCCTCGACATTTCAAAGTGCTGGGATTCCAGAGGGGTAGGGGTGCAGGTAGGAAAAAAAAAGTAAAGGTGTGAGGGGCGCCCATCTCCTGCCATCCTTCCCTGGAGAGAGGTGGGTGCTTTAAGCCCCAAATTCCTCCTGGAGGGAATAGGGGAGGCAGAAATTCCCCAAGTTATCTCCAGAAACAAAGGTGCAGGGGGGCGCACAGTCCCCACTTTCCTCAGATAAAGGAAGGACAGGGAAAGTGGCCCCCAAGAGTGCTTAGAAAAGGAGTGGATGCGCCCCAAATATTCCTCGGAAAAGACGGTGGGCCCTGGATTCCCCAAATGCTCCTTAGGGATCTCGAACCCACGTTTATATACGAAACAGAGCTGGGGTCCCGAATCTACAAAATCATAGTGATTCACAGCAATTGTCCTCCGAAAAGCGGACCGGGAAAAAAAAAAAACCCAAACTCTCTCAGAAGAGTGGCCGGGGCAAGATTTCCAAAGATTCTCCGTAGAACGGGGGGCCATGGAAAAGGAGCCCGAAGCAGAGTCTTCTCAAGGAACGGGGGCCCGCGCCAGAATCTCCAAGATTCTCCTGGAGAGAGAGGGTCAAAGCCACAAGACAAGGCAGAAACAGCGCGGGGCCACCGGAGTCCCTCGGGAACACGGCCAGGCCACGACGCGTCCGGGCTCCTCGGAGGCACCGCCCGCCGCCCGGCGTAGCCGCCCCACGCCCGCCCGGCCCAGGCCGCCTCCAGTGCATTGTGGGTGGGGTGCCCCTGCAGAGCACTGCGGGGAACCCCCTGCCCAGCCAGCTGCCGGCCGCCGGGTGGCCCAGGCGATCCGCCCTCCGGGGTCCGAGCGAGCCGGCCACGAATTGACGCATCCCCCTAGGCCCCGCCCAGGCAGGGGTTCCCGCCCCGAAGATTAGGTCCCGCCTCCGCATGGCCTTGAGTGGCTCTGCAGCCCGCTCCTATCTGCAATTGGCAGGATGCCTGTCAGTCATTCCGTCCCACCTCCTCGGACCCGCCCCGGCCAGCGGCGCGATCCCGAGAACCAGCCGGCCCGCGCGCTCATTGGTCATCATGCGCTGTCCGTCATGAAGCTGGCCACACCTTCTGTGGTGTGCGGGTCCTAGGAGTCCCGGCTGGACCTCATTGGCCTGTGACGCCTTCACTCGGAGAGACGCGCCTCAACCCGGAAGTGTGCGAGGCGAAATCTGCCTAGCAACCGGGGAAGCCGGGCTGTGAAGCGGGCAATTTCAGTGTGAGACTGAGCGGCGAGACCGAGCGGCGGCTCCGAGCGCGGCGCGGCGGCTCCTCCCGCCCGGGGTCAGCGCCCCGGCGCGCGCACGCGCACCCCCGCCGCCTGAGCGCGCCCCGCGCCGCCCGCGCAGTCGGTCGGTCGGTCGTCCGTCCTGTCGCCGCCGCCACCGCCGCCGCCGCGGGCGCCACCTGAGGGAGTCGCTTCCGCGGGACGCCACAGGACCTGACCGGACTGCGCCGCCCGAGACCGTCCCGTGGCCCGGCTGCCGTCGGCGGGGGCGCCGAGCAACTTCGGTGAGTGAGGGGCCGGCGCCGCTGGCGGGTCCCGGCTTCCGGTGTCCCGGGCTCTCTGGGGCTTCCGCTTCTCCCGCACCACCTTCGCCGAGCGGACTCCCTTCTTTACAGGAGCTCCCTCTCAGGGGAGCCCCATGCTCTGGGGTCCCTCGCTTCTCCAGGGGCCCCCCGCCTCACTAGGGGACCCCATCTCTCTAGGGGACCCTCGTCTCTCTTGGGGACTCCCGCCTCTTAGGGACCCCCCCGCCTCTCGAGGGGACCACCTCTTCTCTAGGGGACCCCCATCTCTTGTAGACCCCCGTCTCTCCAAGCAGAGGACCCCATTTCTAGCGACCCCTACCTCCCTAGGGGACTTTCTCCTCTAGGGGACTTCTGCTTCTCTAAGGGCCGTGTCTCTCCAGTCAGGGGACTTTGCCTCTCTAGGGGATCCCTGCCTCTGTAGAAGATCCCCATCGTTCTAGGGTGCCCCTGCCTCTCTAGGGGATCCCCGCCTCTCTAGGGGATCCCTGCCTCTTAGAGGATCCCCCACCTCTTTAGGGGACCCTGTCTAGGGGATCCCCGCCTCTCTAGGGGACCCTTGTCTCTCTAGGGGACCTGGTCTCTAGGGAACCCTTGCCTCTCTTAGGGGAGCCCTGTCTCTCTAGGCCACCCTGCTTCTCTGAGGGAACCCCCCCTTATTTGGGGCTCCCCTGCTTCTCTGAGGACCCCTGCCAGAGGGAACCTCCATCTCTGAGGAATCCTGCCTTTGAGAGGAACTAATTCCCTTCTTTGGGGTGCCCCTACTCTGAGGAACCCCACTTATATGAGGGGATTCCCTCCTCATAGGGTCCCTCCACTTTTCTGAGGAACCCACCCCTTTGAGGGACCCCTGCCTCCTTAGGGAACTTCTTCTATTTGAGGACCCCTGCCTCTGAGGGGTATCCCTTTCTCTGAGGGACCCCTGCCTGTTTGAGGGGAACCCCCATCTCTCTGAGAGAGCTTCTGCCTCTCTGAGGGTCCCCCTTTCTCTGATGGGCTCTGGCTCAAGACCCTATCCTCACTCATCTAAGGAGACCCCTGCTTCTATTAGGGTATACTTTCTCTAGGGATCTCCCACCTTTTGGGGACCTCTGAGAAACCCCCTCTTCCCTGGGGGACCCCTCTTTTCAGAAGACATTCCTGCTTCTCAGAGGAAGCCCTACCCCTCTGACGGGACCTCCCCACCCTGGCTTCTCAGCTGGGTAGTCCCACACTTTTCTGACTTGTCCTCTTTTTTTTTTTTTTTTTTTTTGAGACAGTCTCACACTGTCGCCCACGCTGGAGTGTAATGGCTCAAGGCAGCCTCCACCTCCCGGGTTCAAGCGACTCTCCTGCCTTAGCCTCCAGAGTAGCTGGGACTACAGGCACCCGCCACCATGCACAGCTAATTTTTATATTTTTGTAGAGATGGGGTTTCACCGTGTTGGCCAGACTGGTCTCGAACTCCTGACCTCAGGTGATCCACTGTCCCGGGTCCCCCTACTTTTTGATCAGTGCCTTGACTTTCCTGGGGGAGTCCCCCACTTCTTTGAAATGCCGGTCTGACCGGATCCTTAGTTATCTGATGTATACCCCTACTTTACCAATATCCTACTTTTCTATTTCTTCTGGGTCCCCTAACACGCTGTGGTTGCTGCGATTTTCTGAGAGGTCCCCAGTTTCTCCAGAGGTTTCCCCGTAACTTGTGATGTCCCACTCCTGTAGGATCCTCACACCTCTGAAGTGTGTCTCCCCTTTTCCATTTCTTCTCCTAATGGGAGACACTGTGGCTCTCTTCACTTCTTTGAGTGGTCCCTGCGAATTCCGTGGGGTTTCCTCCCACTTGCCTGAGGGCATTCCCCCTTTCTAGAGGTTTT